TCTATTAATCACTACTAAAAGTCGGTTGCTTCGATGGAATAACTTTCAATCGCGTTTCGAGTGTGAAGTTCAAACTTCTCATTGATTGCCCTATAGTTGAATTTGTCTGCTGAGCTGCTTTAGCTTTCAGATTCAAAAATGATATTGCGACGATTTTAACGAACGTCACTTTATATGCAATAAGTTGCAAAAAGAATAAAGAGCAAATTTTTATTCAACTACAAAATTCAATTATTTTATTATGATATTTATACAGTATCGCCGTAAATACAAATTTCCGTGAAGATCGAAGGCTTAATCGATACCATAAAGCCGATTTTCCCCCTTCGGCTTTAATAGTATTTGTACAAAGTTATTATGGCCATAAACTAAACATGGCCTTTTTTTTTTATATGGAACTTCTCATAGCCGCACATCTTCAGCTAACGAGCTAACTTCATTAAAACAACGATATATTTTAAATGACGAGGAACGTTTAATGGCTGGAAAGGTTGGCCATTTTATGTGGGTGACATGTTCATTCCTTTGAAAGGGAAATCAAAAAACCTCTGCCACCACTGCCATCTTTATTCAGCTTAATTGCGAGGGAAACCTATAACATCGTTGCTTATATCTCTATTTGACATTTTCAGCCTAGAGCCCGTCCTATGTATTTCCATGGACTGCATTCGATTACGTTATTACGTAATTAGGACGCTCGGGGGCTGACAATGCAAGTCGACGAGATTGTCATTCCTTTCGGTACTTTGAAAACTCGGGTGAGCTCGAGAAAAACTTGTATTCTATTCGAGATCGTCGATAACGTATTATATTGTACATCTGCAATTCTCTTTCCTAGTTTATCCAGAATGGAATTATGTGTTTACAATGTGTCTTAGTTCAATTTATGAATTGATGCTTCTTTAATGCGTTCAATTCAATGTTAATTTAATCGTATTTGAGGTGTTTTTTTGTTTTTTGTTTTATTTTTTTTTTCGTTGTATTTTTTTGTTCTAATTCAAAAAGCTAATTAAGCGAAGAATAAAAGGCATCGTATTCACTAAACTATATTTAGATAACCGATTAGTATATTTAGATAACCGATGAATTTTAATGAAGAACGCGAAAAGGAGTTGAAGTATAGTATAGATTGTATATTTAGATAACCGATGAATTTTAATGAAGAACGCGAAAAGGGATCGGCGATGTTCATTTTATAATAATTAGACGATAAACGATAGAGGAATGAAGCATGTCTTTAACAACAACAACAACAACAACTACAACAACAAAATATTGAGGATGCCGGTGGAATAAGAATTCCCACATAGTTAAATGCTTGATTGCGACGTGACTTAATTGTCGATAGAAATAAAAGACTTTAACTTAATAATTAAGCTTTATAATAAATTATATAAATCATGTAAATGCAATTATTAATAATAGAAGTAAGAAGAGGTATTGTAAGATAAGAAAGAACCTAGCCCTAGATAAGATATAGGAAGAAATTAACAAAAGCCTCTAAAAAGTAATTAATGTAGAAATTGTAAAAGAAATGGAAAATAATCTGACTCTGCCGGTAAATCTACCGTTTGAGTAATAAAATAATAGAACTTCGTCACATTGTTCCAACATTAGACTCTATTATAACTTGAAGTTTTATATTTTATAAAGAAAGCCAACATTAAAATAAATATTATAAAACATAAGGGACCATTAATAGTAACACTTACGTTATTTTTTTTTTTTTTTTTTTTGAAAAATAATGGTGATTCTTTAATGTATGAAGAATATTCTGGTGCAACATTTCAATATATTGTCAAGTGTGGTTAATTTTATGTAGCATAGCAAACAAAAACGTTGCGGAGTTATAATTGTCGGCTAAAGTAAAATATGCTTTGAAATTTTTTATTTTTAATTGTAAATTTTTGGAATTTCAGTCGATTATTTAAAAAAAAAAAAACATATGCGCAACATCGAGATCGAGGGAAATAATCGATTATGATTTTTTTTGTAGTTTTTTTTTTGCCCTTATACGTCCATGTTTAAAATATAAGTGTAAAAGATGTTTTTTTTTTATTTGTCCGTATGTTTAGTGAATTTAGATTGAGCAAAGATATTAGATCATCGAGTAGTGTAAGAACGTAATTATTCAAAGTCTTATATTGCATTTGTATCTTAACTATGATTGAATATACTACAAGTTGCATGAATTATTAATTCCCTTATAAATTCCGTTATAGAGGATATTATTGTAAAAATATGTATTAACGGTGGGGCAATGTAACGATCATCGTATCGAGTGGATAAATTGTTATCAATTCATAAAGAACAATCTTAAGACTAAATTTGTCAAAATAAATGTAAATAACGCGGAAAATGATTAAATGCAGATTTACAACAGTTTGAAAATTCATATATTTTCTATTTTTAAGCTTGGAGATTTTTAAATAACAACATTTTCCCTTGTAGATGTTGAGATCACTTTCTTATAGAAACGAATGATTAAATATTCTTGAAACTTTGTAATACAAAGGCTAAGTATCGATGATAGGTGAAAATATTATAAGTAATTAAATAAATCATTTAATAGGATAGATTTGCTTAAGATTATACAATGAGAGAACTAGAATGTTATTTCACATTCACATATATCCGCGTGTAAAATCCATGTGTTGTTTTTGAGAAAGTGTTAAATAAACCGTGCATAAAGTCACCTCACTATATGAAATGTGAAAAGCTGAATGAAACTATGTATAAAGTAAGCAAAGTGAAGCTTAATTTATAAAATAATATTTCTATTTGAATTATATAGAGGAAAGCTGGCTATAATTTTGGATATTTCTTTCTTTCTTTCTCTTTTATTCAATTATAAATAGCGTATATTATATTTTATGCTCCATGATCAAATATCGCTCATTCGGATTATATCATAAAATACGCAATTTAAAGGATATTATATTTTGTATATGTTAGTTGTAAGCATATAAATATGACCTAATTTTGCCAAATTTATTACAGCATGTACAACAAGAAGTTTTTTTTACATCTAATTTAATGTACTTTTGACTTACGGTTCAACTTATGATTTAACGATTAAATGTTTAAAATTTTTTTACAAATTTTACCTCGGAAAGTATGGATTTACATAAAAAAAAAAAAAAAAAAAAAAAAAAAAAAAAAAACTTCACGTAAAATTACTCTTCGAAATGTTTTATATACTCGTTCGACGGAACAAAAGGCATAAAGTAACAATTACTTTATGAGAGTAATTGCCAAACTACCCCGCAATTTTATCAGCACACATCCCCAATAATATTTGGTTGGCCTGAGAAATTTTAAGGAGTGGTTGGGCTACTTGCGAGCAGATTCTAGGAGAGCTTCATTCCACTGTTATTCAAATGTTTGTATATATATATATATATATATGAGAATTTCCGATCGAAACACTGGCAGTATTTGGCGACTTTCTTTTCTAAATTCCAACCTACGCACCCTGTTATAAGTGATGGAGCATTAACAGCGCGTTATACTTAGCTATCCTCGTTCGAGAATTTATGACAAGTCATTTTAGGAAATTTTGGAAAAGTATTTTTTATGCACCTATCGGAAGCTACATCGAGATAGGTAAAACATAAGAGAGGCTTATAATCAAGATATTTATTAACTTGGCTTTTATGTGAAGCTGTATATTATTAACATTATAAAAAAAACAGATAATAATAATAATATAAAAAAATAAATAAAAAGAAAAAATTAAAAAAATGTTTCTGATTTACATTCTTAAAATCGTATCGCGCGACTACTATATAAAGCATGAAATATCAAAAAGATTAAAAAAAAAAAAATGTTTAATAACTTGACCTCCTTATGCGAGAGGAAAGTTAAGAAATATACGTACATCTCGGTCCATCTGAGAAGATAGCTCTCTGAGTGGAGTGTACGTGAGCGAGCGCGCGTGCGTATACGAGCGCACGCGCGCACATGTGTATTACACTGTGTATTCATCCATGCAAATTCGTAACAAGTCTAGTACGACGAAGCTACGTGGTTTTACGCGATTAAAAAGATATGCTTACTGTTATAGTGTTATTTCTGTCACCGAGGCGGTCAAATTTTTTTTTTCTCCATCCGCTAATACACGGTTAGCATCGATTTCGATTCTACTTCTTCCCTAGGCGTAGCAAGGAAGATGAAATTGCTAAAGCGAGGTCAATACAATTCCTCCCTTCCACCGGATAAGATAATTTAACGGTACTGCCTTGGGCATTTCTAACTTCGATACCCGTATTTTTTTTTTTTTTTTTTTTTTTTTTTTTTTTTTTTTTTTTTTTTTTTTTTTGCCCCCGAGCCAATCCTGCTAATCCCTTACGGTGCTCCTCCATTACTCTTATTGTACTCCCTAACAATACTATCAACAGTAACGTGATGCCAAGCCACGACTTTCGTGCCCTTCCAACAAACTGATACTGTCTAACGTGGCGCGCAAAAAGTTTCACAAAAAAGCCACGCTCGCGCCATAACTTCGCGTAAGATCCGTTGCACCCGGGGTCCCATTTAATATAATCAGCGGATTTTGCCGCATAACGGCAAAGTGCTCATTTGAAATTCAACTGATCCACGGGAGTATAATTTGCGATATCTCCTCAGCGGCCGTTGGATGAAATTGAAATCGCATCATTTTTGGCCTATCCGGTGAGCAACACCTCGCGCTCGTCGATCCCCGTCGTCCAGGATCGGGTGCTTTCGCGATTATCAGCATCCGCACGAAAAGGCGAGGTACGGCGGTCCTCCTCTTTCGAGAACAAAATAAAAGAAAAAAAAAAAAGAAAAAAAAAAAAGAAAAAATAAAAAAAAAACCGAAGAAATTAAAGAAAAGCCGGAGCGACGTTGGCAGTGGGTGGGGTTGAGAGGCGCACATATACGCGCGCACACCACGCACGCACGCATGCCCAAGCACACACCATTGGGACCCCACCTCCTGATTTTCTGTGCCGGCGGAGAAAGAGAGGAAGGACCCTGGCGAGCATCGCCGGCGTGGTAAAAGCGAGGAGCAGCGGCCGCGGAAGGCACAGACAGCATCATGCGCTCGGTGAGTACGAATACCGCATCTTTTCTCGCCGCCGCCTCCTCCTCCTTCGTCACTTCCCCGAGGACTTTCTCCGGGCGATCGCTCACCCTCCGCGTCGCTCCCACGGTCCAGCCGCTCCGATGCATCATCTTCATTCTCTCCCGATCGCCTGCATTCCACCTCGGCTTCTTGGCTATACTTGTCCCATATATTCCCCCGCCCCCTCCAACCAAACCACACAGCCCTATAACCCCCTAACCCCTTAACCCAATGACCCTCCATTTTCCCTCCCTCATTCGCCAATTACCATATCACCCTCTCCACTCTAGCGCTTTGGCCCTCGCTTAAGAAAGTTGCGAAGGACTCGGGCCTCGTCGCCGGCATCATCGTATTTGAAACGGCGAATTCGTATATTTATTAAGCGTATTAACTAGGAAGCGGCCGGGAAATGGGAAATTTATGGCTCTTGTCGGCGCGCACCTGACGATTCCCTACGGTTAATTAATTCACTTTGAGCGCGCTTTCGTTTTTTCCCTCCCCCTACCACTATACCACGATTAATTAACGAGTACTCGACTCGATGACGCTCTTATTGGCTATTATAACGGACGCTTGACTGACTTTGAGCTAAAACGATGCCCAAAGAGAAAATGTCATGCCTTTAACGTCCCATTTAATATCGCGAGATTTCCAAGGCTTCGGTTAAAGGGCCTTTAAGCGCCAAATGTTTCACATACGATGTCCCAGCGAAAAGCTTCACACGCTCCGCTAATCCTCACACTCACCTTCACCGCAATCGTACTAATCCCCTCAGCTGTAATCGAGCTTCGCAGCCGTTTGCGGCCTATCGAGTAACCAAAAGCCTTAAAGTAACCAAATTTTAGCTTTAAGGGTGATCGGTGACGGCTAGATTAAGTTTGAATTAAGTTTTATCACACCTGTCGGATAATCCGCGTCATGTGCTAAGTGGCCCGCGCAGCCTTGGAATCCGTGGCAAAGTGCGCGATCCTGAAGAAGTGAGACAGTGAGTGATTGCGTCGTGGCGAGAACGAGAGGCAATGAAAACGCCACAACGTTTTACGGGGGGGGGGGGGGCCTGGAAATGAAAAAATCCGGACTTTTACGCGCGCCTCTGC